TACCACCGCGATCCACACCTCGATTACAAGAGATGGAATTTGCAGAGATGTTGTCACGAGGAGTCTCGGGGTGAGCAAGCCGCCAAGAATCGAGAAGACGCGCTTGGGATAAAATTAACCTAAAATGCGATAGCTAATCGTAAATAGAGTGGACAGAAAGGTGCAAAAGCACATAATAAGGAAAGGAAACACTTGTTTTGTTCGATGATAATTTGTAAAAAACTCATTACGTGAAGTTATGCTTCTGCAAACATGATGTTTGTGAATCAAGACTACAGAGTGCACAACCCCAGATAAATCATTATGATGTATATTAATAGCAAGATTTGAAAGCAAGAAAGCTAAAGAAGTTCTAGTAAATCTATCGCTCCTGACTATGTCAAAGAGACAATAAGCAGGAATGAGTGCAGCGAAATGTGACCTTCGGAAAGTTTCTTACGTGATGTCACGCAAATATATCGATCATTCGTTATTCTTTGATTCCGCAGGCAAAACATTTTCGCAAATCTTAAAGTACATCATAACGATCTTTAAACAAGATATCTATAGTTACAACAGCAACCTTTCAAAAAAAAACCTTAGATAACATAAAAATAGTCTTGGAAGAACTGATGAAGCTACCTTAACCCCAGATCTTCCGGTTCCATATTCAAATCTCCTGTTACTATAACAACATCGGCTCCATGGGATGTGTGACGAATAAATTGGCTTAATTCGAAGGATTGAGCGGTTCTAGAAAATGGAGCGTACAAAAATAGGTAAACCAAAGAATTACTAATCATTTCATCAAAGCAAATGAACAAGCCAACTTGTTTCTAGAAATTAAAAAAAGCATTCACATTAGTACTCACCGATGTGAAAGATATAAGTCGTGCTCTCTATCGTATTCAGCGTGAAGATGAGTGCAATAGAAATTTACTCTCATTTCACCAATTTCTATTTCAACTAATCCTACAACCTGAAGCGAACAGAAATGAGGAAAAATATAGAAAAGAAAAGAAGCTCTGCTAAAAACGCAGAGAAAAAGTCAGCTATAACCTCAAAGGTTACAATACGAAAACACATCGTCAAACCCTACCTTGCCACCGAACCAGTCTCCTCGATGAACATGATGAGCGAAACCGTTCAAAGAATACCTAAACATTTTCGTAATAATTC